AACGGATTTCGAAATTTTTGTCATGAGCCGCGCAACTGCTTGCACTGACGACAAATTCGTGACCAGGATCGTCTTATAAGAAGAAATATTGCTTGGTTCAATCGTCCTGCTGCACGATAAGTGAGCTTCAACGGTGAAAGCGCGAAAAAAAAACCGATTCATGGACTATGGATCCTATTGGTTTTTATTCCAGATGATACAATTCTCTGTAAACTGTGGATGCAGCTGTTTTAAGTTGGAAGGCTAGACCACTTTTGACGATGTAGAAATCATATTTAACTCATATGTTGAGGAATATGGCGAGTACATATCAATCAAAGCATTCGAACCCATCATAACATTTGCAGCGCGAGCGTCAGGTTGTTCAATATTTTTGAAATAAGCCTTTGTTTGTAATTCGCGAACCTCCTTGTATTCCGTGCAAATTGAATATAATGTTTTAAGAGATTTTTCGAATGTTGAGAAGTACTGAACCAATTTTCGATTCGCTAGAGATTTCCCCATAAAAGGATTTGGAATACATTGACTAAATTCTTGCATTTGGTTACATTTTTTTCGAAATTTTCACCTTAACTGTTTCCATGTTATGCTTTGGCTTAGTTCAATAAACCAGAATCGGATTTCGTTGCTGAAGAAGCTGGCAGGTCCTTTGATTTGTACTGTTCCCTGTGTCGTTGGATAGTTGGTGGAATAGTGTAAGATACTGAACTCAACACTTCATCATGTCAAACTTCAAATACTAGTACTAATAACAATTGTTATTTTTATTTATTGTTATTATTAGTAGCAGGTAATAGTAGTAATACTTGGATAGTTGGGTTCTTGAGTGGCCTGTTCCACTGGTTGTGCGGATCTCAGCGAAATCTCCACTTTTTGGAACTTAGCTGGTTTAGTTATTGTAGTTCCCTGGAGTTCCGAGGTAAGCCTGGTCAAAGTTTGCCTCAGGTCATCACTCCGGCAATCAGTCGCCAGCATTGTAGATCAAAAGCAGATTTGGCACTATGCAACTAGTTTGATACCAGGACGCTGGTGGATCCTGGTGTTGGTTTACTCTTCGCTAGGCTTCCTGTTTGAAACACCGGATTCCTCAGCTTTGGAGACTGCCGCGGGATAAATCACCTCGCTGTACATGGCAGCCTGATACCTAGGAACACCTCCCGGCCACCATGAGACGGTAAACCGCTGAGAGCAGAGTAGTAATAGCTATAACAATAAAAATAGTAATAATAATAATAGTAGTAGAGTAATAATAGTAATAGTCTTAACTCTTTTATTTACTGCCTTTTTCTTCTTAATGGCAGGTTATGTTGCGAAATATAACTCGTATGAAATGCTGAGGTATTTGCAAAACTCCGGACCACAGGTGTATGCAGTGGGGAACGAACACGCGCTGTTGTCCTTACCGGGGAGCAGCGCACTCCACCACTACACCATCCGGGTCCTTCGCTTTACTGGCAGTAAATAAGGCAGTAAATAAAAGAGTTAAGATTGTGATTATAACTAAGCCTCAGCTTAACTGGGTTCAATGCCGATATTGGCTCCCCAGGTCAATCCCGTTGACGGGTGATTGCTGATGGCAAAAAGATCGATAGAACTAGCTGAGAGACATGCAAAGCGAAGGACCCGGATGGTGTAGNATAACTCGTATGAAATGCTGAGGTATTTGCAAAACTCCGGACCACAGGTGTATGCAGTGGGGAACGAACACGCGCTGTTGTCCTTACCGGGGAGCAGCGCACTCCACCACTACACCATCCGGGTCCTTCGCTTTACTGGCAGTAAATAAGGCAGTAAATAAAAGAGTTAAGATTGTGATTATAACTAAGCCTCAGCTTAACTGGGTTCAATGCCGATATTGGCTCCCCAGGTCAATCCCGTTGACGGGTGATTGCTGATGGCAAAAAGATCGATAGAACTAGCTGAGAGACATGCAAAGCGAAGGACCCGGATGGTGTAGTGGCGAAGAGCGCTGCTCCCCGGTAAGGACAAGAGCGCGTGTTCGTTCCCCACTGCATACACCTGTGGTCCGGAGTTTTGCAAATATCTCAGCATTTCATAATAGTAATAGTGTTAATAATAGTATAGTAATAATATAATGATAATAATAATAGTATTAATAATAATAGTAATAACAATAACAATATTAATGGTGCTGACCACTCAGTTACAGTTTATTTGTTCTAGAGATCCTCGAGTACGGATATATTTTCTGTCAAGAATTTGACCGATGGTGGGTCGATGTATTACTTTAGTCTCATTGGTGTTATGAGTGCACATCCAAGTGGAGTTGTGGCACTCGACAAATCAGGTATCCTTCAAATGTGAGTGTTCATTATTTATTATTGCATAAGTCAGTAATTACACAATAAAATATCGAGCAAGGCGCTGTGAATGGCACTTCGATGGTTCGTGAAAGGCACATATAAATATTGCGGAAATGGAGGAAAATTCCTAACATGGTCGCGCCAGTAAGCAAGCCATCAATGCAGTCAACGAGATGATTTAGAGTGCGATGTTTAAGAACAAAAAGAGAAAGACGACGACATAGAGGTCCCTTTCATTTCATAAACGTTCTAGTCGTATCTTCTAAGTGTGAAGAAAAACTTCTGAAAGAAGATATCTTCACCATGTTTTTTAGGTTGCATAGGACTTACAGACGTATATATGCTGTAAATTGCTTTTCTTTTACGGTTACAAGGAATATCGTGACAATAAGCAGTTTGATAAAATTCCTAAGATGGGTCCTCATCTATTCAATGAATTTTTTCGTGTATTTTTCTTTCTCGATGCTTTAATATTGAGTAGTTGAATGGAATACATAAATTTTTGCGGTAAAAAAAGTTAGGCCAGATTTGAGAGTTAGAAGTCATACTAAGTCAAAGCGGAAAATCAATAGTCGAATAGTTCTTAAGAAATGGAAGGAAACAAAAGTTGTTGCTGTTGTGGATGCCTGAAATATATCCTTCCGGAATTCATGACTTTGTAAAATTTTTGTTAATGCTAATTTCATTATGACGCGATATATGAGTTTGTGTGGGTCTATATATAACACTTTGGAAGTCATTTTTCCGTTGGTTGGTGCCCTATTTTTCTTTTTTTTATATGACCCGTCTTCACGTCTACTGTGCGGATCCCGGCATTTCTCACATTCGATGCGTTTCCTCGCATCCATTGTCCGCGAAGATCTCCCAACTTTACGTGTGGCTTCGGTTGCTGCTTCAGGATTTTCATTTCATGTTGAATATCGTAGAATGCTGGTCGAGCAATTCTCCCTAGAATCCTGAGATAGCCGGGTTGGAGCGTTCCCATTTGGATTCCAGAGAGTGATTTTTCTTTCCGGACAAGTCCGGTACCAATTTCCCGACCCCGGCGGGTGAGTGGCTTGGTTGACCCGGAGCGGAATCGAACTGGCACCATGTTCATGATGACGGACATCACTACCGCGGTTCTATCCGCTGTTGGAGATAGTAAAGTCATTTCATCTTTTGACGTTCGCGTTAGCTCCCACGACCGACCTTCTATTAACCTCGGCATTGATCAATTCTTCGTATTTTTGTTGAGCAAACGCGAGGTGTTATTGTTCTTTATTCACGAATACGCTGACGTTTCGGCGGATTTCGCCTTCCTCAGAGTCTGGAAAGGTCAAGTTGACAGCAATCTACTCGGCTAGACGCCTCCATAACCAAACAAAGAAACTCTAAACCAAGATTTCAATCACGTTGAACACAGCTTTGCACACTCACCGCTTCCTATGAGGTTTCCACTAAGTATGTCACGTAGAGACCAACCGCACAGAAATCACGTGGCAGTATAATGTGCCCCTCACATCAGAAAAGCAGTTTTATATACTGCCCTATATCACGCGTGATAATGAGGCATTCTTCCCTGCGATTCATTTTCGGATTTCTGGAATTAATCCAGAGTGCCTCGAGAGTTTTTCGCGCCTGTGTTCTTGATTCGCGTGCGAGGATCGTGACACATACTTCGAAGTCGTCCCCGTTATGTCTCTGGGTCCTATGTGTGCCTAGCGGGGTATTTGGTCTATTTTTGCCGGCTAGGTGTTCTTTCATGCGGACACAGAGGGGTCTACCCGTTTCGCCAATGTATTCGTCACCGCACGTCTTACAGGAGATCAGATAAACTATACCCGAGCTCATGCAATCACCGTCTCTACCACTGGGGCAAATTATGCAATTTTGAGCTGCACATAGACGGTCATATAGGCGGTTACGAACTAGCTGGCGCTTAAGATTACTCGGTGGTATTTCAACTACGCTTACCGAATTCTCTAAGCCNATAATGTGCCCCTCACATCAGAAAAGCAGTTTTATATACTGCCCTATATCACGCGTGATAATGAGGCATTCTTCCCTGCGATTCATTTTCGGATTTCTGGAATTAATCCAGAGTGCCTCGAGAGTTTTTCGCGCCTGTGTTCTTGATTCGCGTGCGAGGATCGTGACACATACTTCGAAGTCGTCCCCGTTATGTCTCTGGGTCCTATGTGTGCCTAGCGGGGTATTTGGTCTATTTTTGCCGGCTAGGTGTTCTTTCATGCGGACACAGAGGGGTCTACCCGTTTCGCCAATGTATTCGTCACCGCACGTCTTACAGGAGATCAGATAAACTATACCCGAGCTCATGCAATCACCGTCTCTACCACTGGGGCAAATTATGCAATTTTGAGCTGCACATAGACGGTCATATAGGCGGTTACGAACTAGCTGGCGCTTAAGATTACTCGGTGGTATTTCAACTACGCTTACCGAATTCTCTAAGCCCGCCTTTCTCAAGCAGCGTTTTATAGCTGTACTTATATCATTTGAGAATACGTTGTTCGCGTTGGCGATAGAATTGTCGTTTTGAATTTGGAATACGTTGTTTTAGTGTTACGAAATACGCTTTTTATGATAAGAGTGTTTTTGGGATGAAAATCAGATACGTTGTGCTTTCGCCATACGAATTAATTTAAATTGATCTCACCGGCGTTGTTTTCTTTTTTATGGTTTTTGCGAAATGTAGAAACATTGCTGGATTGTCGAAAGCTTGACGAGGCACTTGTATTTTTCGGAGAGAAGTCCGCCACTCGGAAGGCCTGCTGCTGGATTGCAGTAGGGTCGGCAGTGCTCGTAACCGCGCTCGAAGACGTTGTAAGCCTCGCAACACGAGGTGGCGTCTTCGTATCCGGAGGCGCACACCATGATGTCGTGCATTTTATTCAGAGGACATCGTCCCGTTAGTACTGCCAATTGCATCTAAAGGAAACGATCCCTCTTATTTATGCTCTGCTATCCACAAAACTGTTTAATGTTTTTTTGATTTCTTTAGAAGAACCCTTCGATTTGGAGTGTTCTTCGTCTAAAATTGGGTCATTTCTTCAAAGGTCTTACCTATAGACAAACCTGTAATGCGTAATGCGTAAGGTCTTACTGGAGCGAAATTACAATTGCAAAATCGCTCGTAAAAAATCGGTCATATACATTCTTAGAAAATGTTTTTTTTAATTGAACGTTGTATACTTTCCCTGTAGTTAATTATTGTTCTAGTTTTTGTTCCTACACCAATTACCACTAGAGCTAATTACGTAGTAATGACTAGCCGCAGTATTTTAGCAATCATAGGGCGAGCTATCTTAGTAGACTTAGTGCTCATTTCAGCACTTTAATTCTGAATCTATTAGTGCTGAGGTGAGTGCATACAGCCAATCAGTTACAGCTCCACTACAATACACATGTGGTGGTTGATGCGATGTCTTACCCGAGCAGAACAATCCCTTCATCCCCTCACTGTCGGCATACTAGTATCAAACTTGTCCGTGTACAATGATTAATGTAGTTCATTGCATGGCGCAACCCGAAAGGATCAATCTACGTCGAGGATTCCATCTTTTTATGCCTTTATTAATATTGAGACATTAATTACGAAAATACAGAGCCAAATGAATCCCGAAGAATTCCGAACTTTTTCGGTCTTATTGTTGGCTTCCCTACATAGGTTGCATATTGTTAAGCAATACTCCCACTGTAATATATATGACTTTCAAAGTCGAATGAGATTGCTGGACTATTTCTACGAGAGGAGGACGTGGTGGCTATTACCGATTAACTGGAAATCTCGAAGTTATTTTTTAACACCCTAGAAGAAGAACGAGCAACCGGTAGCTGGTACGGAACATGCGGAAATGCTCGTATGAACCATTGGTCGAACGCGTTGTCCAGTTGAAGAACACGTACTGCGTAGTGGTTATTCGCTTGTCCCATGTGCTTGATTCTCGTCTGCTTCCATGTATTTTGGACAAGTAAACGACTTGAAGAATTGAAAAATTATATTATACGTTGTATAGAAGAGATTTTATTGCGCAGTTTTAGAGGTATACGTGATTTTTCTACCAATTAAACTTTAGTTCTAAACTTTTCTAAAGCTGAATCTCCGAAAAGTTGGAAGCGAATTTAAAATCTTAACGGAAGTAGAGCATCAGTAAGAACTAGAAATACATTCGAAAACAAAGTCTTGTTTTTGTAAGATGATACTCCACCCTTTCGATCTTTTGACTGTTCGAATTACGAACATCGGCGAAAAGGGCGAAGTAGCACACCTTGTGGGCTGTAGAAAACCAAATCCAATTTCTTGTTTCTAGTGTAAACTGTATCTGATTTGTAAAGTCTGTAGATTATACTGTTTGACTTTAATTAATAAGAGGTAAAAAAAGTTAGAAACCAGTTCGCAATGTTTATTTAAAGGTGAAAGGTTACAACTACCTCCGGGTAGATATTAGTTGTGTTATCCCATATCGTTCACAGCATGCATGAGTTAAAATTAAATGATGTTGTCGGTATGATATTCCATTCTTACTTGGATACCAGAACGGCCCGTTCTCACTGGTTGTGCGGGCCCCAGCATATTCTTTTTTCGGAGTTTTGCTGGTATAGTCATTACGTTTCCCTCGAGTCCCGAGGTCACCCTGGCCAAAGTCTGCCCTAGGTCGCCACCACAAGCAGTCGCATCTCGTGTAATTCAAAGGGAGATTTGCCACAGTACAACTTTGATACCAGGACGGTGATGCATCTTGGTATTGGTTTACCCTAAGCTAAGCTTCCTGTTGGAAAACCGGACTTCTTTTCAGCTTGGGAGACCCTGACGGGGAATGAATCCTCCGCTGTACATTGCAGTCCGACACCCAGGTACACCTCCTAACCACAATGAGGTGGGATACCGTTAGGAGGGTATTTCATTCTGTGGAAATTAGTCTCCGATTTTGATCTGCATTTCCATAGTGTCGTATCTCTGAATCTACACATTCTTACTAACGAAATATAGGTTTGCTTATAGCATTTGCTTAAAATTCTGATCTTCTAAAGACGATGTAGTCTTTGATTCGTGCAGGAACTTAACGAGATGCTTGAAGAAATGCTAATCGGTAGGTGAGATGTATGGCAGGTTTGCGGATGTGGACCAACTCCTTCAACTTTTTCAGTGCCTGTAGTGCGCTGTGTGGCTGCGCGTTATCGTGGAGAACGAATGATCTATTTGTATTGACAAATACTGTTTTCTACTTCCTGGTATATATCGTTGACTTGTTGGGCATACTTGTACGCCATAACTATTTTACTCGTAATCATTGAAGAAACTATGGATCACCAGCTGTTGACCAGCAAACGGCCAGCACGACTTTCTTTTGGCGCAATTTCAGCTATGAGAAGTGTTGCGGAACTCAATCCAGGTTGAACTTCTTAGTCGATCTTCTCCGATTGTCGTAAAAGATCCATTCTGCATCGCACGTTACAATGCGACCGATAAAGGGGTCGTTCTTATTGCGTAAGAACGTCGACTATTCACGATTATTTTTTGATTTCCATTCAATTCGTATAATATCCATTTGTTGCGTTTCTTATACGTCCCAATTTTTCTAAGTGCACCGAAACAGCAAGGGTGCTTACGCTGAGTTCTGCATGTTCTCCCATTGTTTGCTTGCATTTGCTTTCCCCAAAGCTTTCTTTTGTTCATCGTGATAGAGGACAAAAGCACGTTCCTCGTCTGTGAGGTTGAATTCGCCACGTCAGAATTTTCCAAACCGGTGCTGCACTGTACGTCTGTTAATATCTTATCATCATTCGTCGCTATATTTCGAGCCGTTTGCGCTGCGTACTTCCGAGTTTGGACTCGTAAAAGTAAACTTATTGAAGTTTCTGTTTCGACGTTTGGAATTCTAACGTTTAAAATTCGTCAAAATCGTAATTTATTGTTTTATTTTATTTCATTTTATTTTACATAACCCATCATCACTTCTACTGTGCGGATCCCAGCACTTCTTGCCTTCAATTCGTTTTCCTCGCATTCATCGTCGATAGCCTTCGACCATTTCGCTTGTGGTTTTGGGTAAGGTTTCATGATTTTGTCTTCTATATGAATGTTGCGAATGCTTGTCGAGTCGATTCTCCTTCCAATTTTGGAGATCGCCGGACTAAGGTGCTCTCCATGTGGATTGGAGGATAGTGTTGCTGAGAAGGCCAAACTAGCGCCTTTACTTCCCCAGTTAACAATTTATATTATAATTGAAATTGTAAAAATTCATAAAGCGAGTTTTGCAATATTATACAAGTACACCATTCGAAGAGAAAAGTATTGCTAAAAGATATACAGAAGAATGAACTAATAAATTGGACATTTTCCGAGCTACCATATATTGCTACGTGTTATTAAAAATAGCACAGGTCAGCGGGACAGTAATGGCGCTGAGCACCGCAGTTGTTAATTGCACCCTCATAGACAATCATCTAACCCCACTTATGAGACCGTGAAACGAATTGCTATGGGTGTATGGAACACAGTTTTTTAAATGCGATCGTAATTCGAAACGTCGGCGATTTCATAAATAAAACATTAATGTTCCAATAGATTTTTATGAGGTCGATTAACTTCGTAAGATACATTGAAATTCTTGCTTAATATGTAGGTAACAACTAGACTTAAATATAGTTTAAACACGTAACAGTGGTATATGGAAATATATATATATATACATATACGTATATGTATATATGTATATATATATACATATATATATATATATTCAAATTCAACCTAGCCAAAGTCTGCCCCAGGTCGTCACCACCACAGGCAGTCACAGCCCTTATGGATCGGAGGGAAAATTGGCACCATGCGACTTTGATACCAGGACGGTGGTGGGTCCCGGTGTTGGTTTACTCTTAGCTAGGCTTCCTGATGGTAGCGCCGGACTCCTTCTCAGCTTGGGAGACCCTGTCGGGGGATGAATCTCCCCGCTGTACATCGCAGTCCGACACGCAGGAACACCTAGCCACGATGAAGCGGTAAACTGTTGAGAGGATATATATATGTATATATATATATCTGGGGACTGTTCGCTTAATCAGTATCTATCTATTCTCTGTCTTCGTTCCTATCTTTCCTTCTGTCCAAGATCTCATAAGAAAGCCAGAGGAATAAATTTCGAATCTATCGTTTGATTTGTTGAGACTGCTCTACACGGCTTTTAGTAGGCTTATTATTGCAGCTACTTCGAACCACTACTATACCATGAGAACGGATGTGTGAACGACGTCGAACCCATCGTAGAGGTTGAATAAATATCCAATACTCATTCTCTCTTTTTCGAGTTGCCGTTTGATGAGAAAAACATTCGAAAACCTAGAAAAGATGCTAGCTTCTGTGTAGTGAAATCGACATGAGTTGAAAAATTTATCCGGCTCTAAGAACCAGTTTGACACGGTGAATTAGTTATGTAGCTCGTTAACGGGCCGTAAGAAATATAACGGTGAGATGTTAATTTATAATTGTTGGCCGCAGTTTTTTTCTAAAACATGCTTGGACAATGTCCAAATGACAAAATGGGAGATAAAAGGGATGAGATCGTGAATAAAATAAGAAGACGGAATTCAAGCGGTACCTTGTATGATCAAAACATTTTAAATTTGTGACGAACGGTATAATGAAGACCATCACAGGGATGGAAAGAATCATAGTTAACTACTTGTTTCAAAAAGGTGCTTTTCCACTGATGGGTGCACCTTGTACGCACGACGTTGATTCGGGTGCTTTCTATTACATATTCATCTTATCAGATGTGTCTGAAATATGCACTCTTTGGTCCATAAAGGCCGATAATTATCGGCGGGACTTGGAAACGCTTTAATAGCGCTATACCTAGATTCCATGAACATTGAACCGCATTAAAAAAGTGCTGAGGTGTGGGAAAATATGAACAGCGGTAGCATAAATGGATAAATAAGGTGCAGGATCCATAATATGCTCGAACCATATTTTGAAGTTGTTTTCTCACTGCAAAGTACGTACCGTAGAGTAGGGAATAAAAGGAGGGAGGATAAAGCTGTTGGCGTTGATGAATTCTTGAGTGATGCGCAATGCAGGCAACTTCATCATGAATCGGTAATCTACCAATGTATCAATCAAGTCAGTGCTGCTACTCTCCTAGACAGGTTTGGTACGAATTTGCCGATCCTGGAGAGATAAAAGGCTTTCTCTAGGTTTGATGAGCCTGGGACGCGGGATCGAACCCACGCGCATTGTAGGGCACCCCCAACCACTGCGCTACACGCGCCGCCTGGATGAATTTGAAACAGGAGTTTTCGAAAACTGTAGGACGTCAAGCGAAGTTCATGAGAAGCACTTGAGAGAAAGGGAGATGCTTTTGCGAATCGAATCTAGCTGTTGAAGTCACTGTGATTTGTTGGTCTTTCAGTTGTCTTTAGTTTCTTCACTGTCGATAATGCCTTGATGACCTAAATTCTCATTCCTATAGTTTCTTCGTTTACTTCTTAATAGGTTAGACAGATCGAGTTCTTAAGTTGATCGGAAAAATGAATCTCAAACAAGTGTATGAGTACAGAAGGAAGCCAATAACGAAGTAACCTGATATATTCTTCGTACCGGTGAGTTAGCCATATTTTGCTAAATCTCACGCCGTGGTATCAAAAACAACTACCATTCCTAAGAATAGTCCCTGCAGAGGCTTTCTTTATTTATTATATTCTATTTATCAACGAGAATTTTAGTAGCTTCCATGTTGTAAGGTGATGTAAAAGCTTTATATATTGCAGATTCGTTGGAATTCTCTCTTCTCGTCTAGTCATAGTTATGTTAGCCACCGTTTTAGTTAATTTTTTCATGGGGGTTTGTAGATCATTGAGGTATTCCAAACCATTATCAGTCTTGATCTTCAGAGAGAAGCTTGTCTTACCGTTGCTAGTTGGGCGTCATAGTTACATAATGGCAAGCATCCTTCTCCTAACCGAGCACAGCAGTTGACAAATCGCTCGTTTGCAGTCTGTTTCGTAATGCACGGCGCCCAACCCGGTTGACGAGGACACTAAAATTTTCTCTGTCATCTAAATTGCAATATTCCTAGATAGTATAACTTTTAATTCTTTCTTCCGGACTTTGTCTTATAATCGAAGAAGTCGCTATATCGAAATTTGAAATATAATAACTGTAGTGTCCCTTGGTAATAAGTGTTGATATGCAAACATGAGTTTCAATAACTCTCTGTTGATAAATAAGGCTAAATCTCTCAGCGTTGATCAATATCTGAGGGATGCGCCATGCATTCGACTTCATTAAGCATCGTTTGGAGGGGATCGAATGCAAATCTGGCCTTTACAATGACTCGCGGTGGCCTACTGATCTATCGATCCATGCTACTATCCTCTCAGACAAGTCTGGTACCAATTTGCCGACCCTGGAGGGACGGAAGGCTTGATGGGTTATGGGCGCGGGGACCGATTCCATGTGTGTGTTGGAGGGCGCCTCTGACCACTGCGCCGCACGCGACCCACTCTGTTGATAGTATTGGATTATAGTGGAGGTTGTTAGAGGTTGTTAGACATGCAAGTTTCGAATGTTTTGACTCTTGATAATCCTGTGATAAAATTATGGATGGTGTGTTCACTGAAATAGAAATATTTGAAATTAACCATTCGTAATTGCATCTCCTACGATACGGAAGGAACTCTACCATCTAGAACTGATTTCATTTTTCGGGATGTAATTAGTGGCTTCGACGAACCTGTTGTGGTGAATTCGTTTGTACCACTCCCTTACCGTCCACGTATTTTTGTACATTAATCGGTGCGGCATCGATACTCGGTGATGCTAATGGCTTTGAAAGGCCATTGGATACCTTAAAGGTTCTATTTTGTAACAAATGATTTTGAAGCTGTGTCACTTGTTCTCGCGGGTAAAGTTGTTGTGCATGTGCTTTGTTTGCTTGATACGGTATGTTAGACTGTACGCTAGTTCCACTCACATGCTTAAATATATAATCAAAATTTATCTTCTGTAGAATATATGTGTAGTTCAACTACCTGTTGGCTTCGAGCCCCTTGTTGTAGGTGATTTCTGTTATACTGTGCCGAATAAACGTCGCCTGTCGTCAAACTTGATGTCACGTGTTGTGGTGCGGCTCCTTGATAGTAGTTTTGTACACTTTGATGTGCATTCGGATGCTGATTATTGTAATAATTTTGCTGCTGTCCATAATAATTTGCTTGTGGACTTTGCTGGAAATTCTGTTGTGGATTAACAAGTGGTTGATGACTGGTTATTGGTGCTATTCCATAAGTAATTTGTGGTTGGCTGTAAGAACCGGAGATCGCTGGAGTTTGCCCCACTGTGGTTCCCTTAAATGACTGTTATGCAGAAATGTGTATGGTGAAGAAGTCTGAATCTCAAAACACTCACCTGGCCTAAATGTGTCATTCCTGCTAGATTGAGTAAACCGAGTGGATCCAGCATAGATTGCTGATTAGACGGCTAAATTAGCGGTTATTTTCACCTTTCGTAGAGAAAACGTAGACCGACTACTTGTAAGCAGTTACGATACTTAGATCATTCTTACCACCTCGTTTGAAAGTAGCATTAAGTCAGAATACGGCTTTATTGTTATATTTCCGTGCTACCGAATGAAGATTTTTCTTCTATGAATTTAAAAAAAGCAGTAAACCGAAAAATCGGTTGTTGGACTCGCTAATTTTTCTATCGAGACAGTCGAAGATTTTATAAAATTGCTGGCTTTATTTACCTTTCCGTATTTCACTACGAAGCACTAACCTGTTGTGGGAACGTCTGGAAAGAATTCATAAACAGACTGGGTTGCTGCTGTTGCGGAAACTGAAGCGGTTGTACTGCTTGTGCTTGGAACATAGGTCGCCCGAATATGTCAGTCATTGCAGGTTGGGTGAATGTGTTCTGGTTGGTACTGTATAATTGTGGTTGTGCTGCGTTTTGAAATGCCGTTGGTTGTTGTTGCTTGAAAACTTCCACATTCTGAGCGCTCTGCTGGTAATCCGTAAGTGAATGAGCTAAATCGGCCGGCTGTTGAGCGAGATTTCTATTGATATCTGTTGGTCGTGGTGGCGGAATAAGTGGTGCAAGAGTGGAAATGTCAACGGACAGTTGATTGAACTGGTTGGGCGGCAAATGACCCTGTAGTACCGGTCGGTGTACTGGCTGAAGTGCTTTATTCTTTGCGTTAGAGTTAAACTGAAACAGATCATTTTAGCGCTTTCGATTTTTAGATTTCTCATTATTTTCCATGATACCGCTATCTTTGCTAAATAAAAAGATATTCGATATCATTGGTTCTCTACGTCTGTGGTTATAAACTGTTATTGAAATTGAGAAGATTTACGTTCAAGAAAGAGAATGCCATTCGTAAAAATTGCTATTCTAATATTATAAGCTTTCCTCATTTTTGTAGAATGCTTGAAGAAACATGTCACGCTGAAAATGTTTAGTTTCCCATAAACCTTGCGATGTTTTCTCGAAACCTTAACGCAAACCTGCTGTTGCGTCTGGGTAGCAACGCCTGATTGCCTGGAAATAACACCGATATCTGGTTGCTTTAACGGCTTTTGTGGCTCGTTTTCGTCAGAGTGATCCTTTTTTGTTTTGTAGGATGAGGATATAGGAAGCGGATGGTAATCTTCCGGATAAACTTTCAGCTTTTTTCCCTGAAAATTCGCTACCATCATATTCCTTTTTTCTGTTGCATTGACTGTCATGAGGGAAGACAACTCACTGTTACTTTGTCTAGGACCACTCGCGGACAATCCTGGCAAGTCTTTTGACAAGCTTTTGAAATAAATTCGAGGGAACAATGACTACAGCGTGCACGTTTGCAGGACGGCAAATCTGCCGTAGAAAGACTCAGAACTGCTATCAAAAACCATATTGTCTTCATAACCTAAAAAATGTTCGTAGTGTGTAAACGTTTGTTCACCGTAGAATATGTCGTTCGTGAGAAAGATAAAGGAGCCTATGTAGCCACTTGGTCATCGGCGGTTGACGATGGAGAAAACTGTGCAATCTTTTTTAGGAATCCACTAAAATGGCACCTTTGGCTTATAATCACTAGCCATAGAATACAATTTCTGATGTGAATTACACCATACTAGCTATTCTTGCGAAACGTTTCGTCGAAATGTTTCAAGTTTTGGAGTACTACTTTTTTAAGCACGAATTTCTATGGTCTCGCTTTACTATGGTTGTTATGGAACAGTGATCACGATACTGTGTAACAGCAATTTCGACGTAGATCAATCCCTTAGGGATGCATATGATTGAATACGTACCCGGACTGTATAATAAACTCGTAGTGGCCTATCGATTTTTCGAGTCAGTCCCGCTATCCTCCTAGGCAGGTTTGGTACCAATTTACCGACCCCTGAGAGATGGAGGGCTTGGTGAACCAAGGGCGCAGGATCGAACCCGTGTGTATTGCAGGGTGTCTTTAACCACTGCGCTACACGCGGCCCTGATACTATATAAGATGATGAAAATGAAGGAAAAACGAGAAGAATATTAATAGGACGAGCACGGATAAATGACTGCACGAATTTACAGCGAGAATGCATACTTTAATAGACCAGTTTTTTGTAGGATAATAGACTAGTTTTTGGTGGAGCTTTTCTGGAAGACCAAGCGTAGCAATTTTGTGAAGCGTGTATAACCACTGCTGAAGTTAGTTAACTGGACGTATACAGATTGATCATTAAAGCTCTTCAAGAGATTGGTTCGAAAATCATTTGTAACAATTGAAACAACTATGCAGACAGACTGTTGAAAAGGAAACACTGTTATGGTTAGGGGAATTTTTAAACCAAGGAGATTCTTTTGCATTGCGTGGAGAGTATGAGCAGCGATCGTCGCGGTGGCTAAGCGAAACAAGAAGACCTGTTCTCCTCCCGTACTCATTATCCCGAATCCCGTTCTCGCCACACGAGATTCCCAACCTACACTTGTGACATCTCGCTATTATCCACTTTCGGCATCGATATTTCAAATCACTGAGCGGCTAATGATAGCCGGACACAACCAATATTTAAGGATGCAAAAAAAATCCAAATCTCAAAAATCAAAGTATTCGCTATTTCTGGAAGTTAGTTCGTGGAAGCATTTCACTATTGTATCCTTTCAATGTCTGAGATTTAACGCAAATTAACTGTAACAAAATCTTGTTTTGGTCTAAAATTTGGATCACTCAACGGAAAAAAGACGTCGTCATAGTTGAAATTCTGTGGTAGATAAATGGTCCTGACAACAGTCAGTGGTTTATTCTCTGGTCGTGGTCATTGAGCGCATTTGTGTTTAACTACGATATACGATGAGAGTTTATCGACCAACTGGGCCACAAAATTCTAAAGGAGATCGGTATCTTTTTCTCAGTCAGGAAGCACATCGAATAATAAGCGGCCATAGCATATACCGGTGAACTCGTTCTGGTTAACTTCTTCTAAAGAAATCTGAAAGAGGCGTAATACTAAATGTCTAAAGCTGCTTGTGCGGTGGTTGCTAAGCAGTTCTTATGGGACTCGGGAGGCATTGGAGTGTACTACTTAAATTCGTCGTTTTCTGTCTCAGCAATCGCGAGGTTGTTAAACAGACTACGTTTACTTCCATACAATAACACACAACACAACCGTAGCTGAAGTTTCGGTAGAATCGCCTTTTTCAGAGCCTTCAGAGTGGTTGATGACCATATGCGACTCTGATCAACGGCTCTTCCTCAGTGGAAGGCACATAAAAACAGCTCTGAAGAGGGCGATTCTGCGGAAACGTCAACTGAGGTTGTGTTGTGTATTATTGTATGGAAGTAAACGTATGCTTTTTAACAACCTCGCGATTGCTGAGACAGAAAACGACAAATTTATAATCCAATGCTGAGTTTAACATAAAGTCGATCCTGGGAACTGTACTACTTGATTTGTAGATGTTGATCTATGTCTGATGTTCACATAAGTTTGCTGAGGCTGGCGCACGGAACGACTGATGTGGAGTAATCTATGGATAACTGAACGCATAGCCCTTTATAAATGAATTTTCGTGCAATTCAAGGATATCAGAGAAATGGATGGAGTGGTTGTACTGAGCGTGAAAATCGTTCGGAAACCGTCCTCGAACAAGTATTGATTTGTTTTAATATGGGATATGATTCTTTGATATCTCAATTTAATTCCTAAGTTTCTTCATCATCTCAAGAGGATGTAAAGACAGTGGGTATTTCTTTCCTTTCCTTCAACGACCATATACTTGATCTAATACTGATCAACTTGAAACAGAACAATACGTTTCGTACGTTACTTCAAAAATGTGGAGGAAGTATAAGGATTGGAACTGATGTGAGAAACAGTTACTATCATTCGTTAGATGTTGTTCGCTTTTTAAAGTTGAAAGTCTTCCCCATGCTCAAAAGGTGTAATGTGCTAACGGCAAGATGAGTCTAAGAGCTTTTTCTTTTCTTTTTTTTCCTGAATAGTGTTGAACACAGGGTGTACGTTCATTTATAGTGCTGGAATTGTGGTTCTAACAGTTCCAGTGTAAATAAATCCTTTGTTATGTTTGAATTATGTAGTCTGTCTGAGAATTTCTGTTTGCTACAAAGAACTTCTCAACAGGAACATATCCGGGATGTTCCAGCAGAAAAAGAAGGGAAGTCAAGCACTTTGTGTAGCTGCTTGGTCACGAAGTGGGTTAGTAGTGTGAGAGACGTCGAGCTGTTCTTATGCGGTCAATCTCCGATCCGATCTGACGTTATGTGGACGTCCACTCACGAACGCACCGTTGTGGGCCAATAATTGTCATAGCCACAATTTTTCTGCGCTCTATTTCGATTAGAAATGATATTTGGCGTGAAAATAATATGGAATGACCACAAAAAAATCATACTTGGAACTGCTGTTGCACGAAATGTGTTTGGTCAAAGTAATGATTATTTTCTGCAATGTACGAGATCTTTCACGATTTTGCAAAAGATTGATCAAGGACGAATAGGACTCTACTAATGTCAACTACTCCAACAAAAAGAAGTTAATTGCAGTTTTGTTGATTTGATAACTCCATCTACTCACGCGGTGTACGTAAAACTGATTGTCTCCTGTCTTGACTATGAATTCGACTACTGTAGTCTTACGAAAGTGATACTACAAAAAGCTCTAACGTCAGCTTGCGAGGTAGGCGGTACTTACCTTCCAAGTTCGGAACATAGTTCTGATTTTGTTTTTAGATTAGTTTCTCTCTCAATATGAATCATAAAATTACGGATGATATGGTTCTTGATAAACACAGGATTAGGTCAGTAGGTTGTAAAATTTCATATGGTCGTTATCGGAAATGTGTAGTTCACCTATAGATTTCACAAAAAAGAACACCAGCAGCCTTGTGAAGCTGAGAGAATACTGAGAGCAGCAGAAGGGACTGGTTACAACAAATTTTGTTTACAAACTTTCAAGAATATTTTCGGAAGAATATAAATATTCGCACCCTTTAAATTCTTTTTGTGGCGTTTTCTTTAGTTTTAGGAATAGGCAATTTTAAGCCATAGTGAAATTTTGTCAAAGCTTATTATAAGTTTTTGTTTTGGTTTTTATAGTCTGCTCGTCGTTGGTGTACGAAATTCTTATCCACATTAGCTCATCGACGTCCTCCAAATTTCTCCGATTGGGGCTTTCGTCTTCTTCTTGGACAGTTGGCGGATCAGTCAGTGAAGGTCATCCGTGACGCTATCCGGATCTTGCACACATGGCTGCCGGTTTGTGCTTAATCACTTTGTGTTAGCTATGTATTAGTGAAGCAAATCGAATTACAGGAATTTATTTATCTGTGTTGAAAGTTTTCCTTACTTTTTTTTCTATGCTTCTAGGTTTATAAAGATGCTGCGCGATGGTTGAGGACTGCTCAACTGGACAATTTCGGCGAGGCAGGAATTCTGTTGAAAGTACATATCTATAGAGATGAGCATTTATGTCTCCTCGATGAGGGTAAAACTCGCGAAAGTGTCTTATTCTGGTTGGAGGTATTAATTTCTTGGTAAAATTGAATCTAATTTAATGCGCAGCACATTGCGTTCCAGTCTTTCAACGTGAGGTACGTCGAAGCTATCGATGATGATATAAGAGATGCGCTTTTTTCTGTACGAAGAACAGTGAGTGGAACATTTTCAAGAGCGAGTGGAGAACGGTAAACATTTAAACACCGTTTTTATGCAGTTCAACTATAAAAGTAGTCACATGGTTTCTCTATTCTAGTGCTGAAAATTTTGGTCATCCTGCCCCACCTCACCTGTTTGCCTCTCTCTGTAACCATGAATTTGGTCGAAGTGTTCTGTGTCATTTGAACGTGATCGATTCTCTTGTTAATGATTTACTGAGCGTTCAAGAGCCGAAGAAAGTTAAAGCTACCCTCATGGCTCTTGGTCACATCGGAAGTGTCAACGAAGGTGAATGAAACTCCACTATCAATGTTGAGAGGACTGCTTATGATTGTAACTCTAGTCACTAGGTTTCAAACTACTTCCTCCTGATGTTGTTCCGCAGATGGTTCGAATAGCTGAGGAATCGGCGATACTTAGTCAACGTGGATATGCCTTTTGGGCTCTTAACATCTTAAGCCTGTCACTTAATGGTATGTTCAATAATTTAGTTTTCTTGGTGCAGTATATTGATCTTCAAATGTTTGCAGTGCAAGCTCTCAAACTATTAACTATTAAAAGAATCCTCTCCTCTTTGTGTGCCCGTAGAACGAATACGACATCCACTCTGACGCAACTGTGAACAAATTTGGCATGTTAATATCAACGGAAAAGCTGTATCATTATGGTGCAGCTGTGATTGTTACCTTTGATCTAGTTGAATATTCAGTTGTTGTATGTTAATTATGGTCCAAGTATCTTGAACGGCAATCACGTGGGCTTTGATGTGACCCGTACCTTAATAAAGACTGCGAAGATTGCCGTCTTATAGGATTGTTCCGGTTTTGTTGGTGCAAAGGAAGAAGTAATCGATATAGAGTGTCGTAGACGTTGTGTTTTAGTCAGATAGAAATCACATCCGCAGCAACATGATTTAATCACTTCTAACCGGTTGTCTCACCACTGCGCCGTAGGTGGGATTATCTAGTGTGCAAGGTACTGAGACTGGTTTCTCGTTAGTCTAGCGAGTTTTTTCGCTTAGAGTTTCGGCATGGCCGTTTTAAGTGGTTTTCAAATGTTCAGCGCATCTTTCATCATCCTTTATGAATCACAGAGGACTCACATTGCAGCGTTTAGTCCAGGATGGGAATTTTTAGTCTATATTTCTTCGTTACAAGGGAAGGGGTGTGAGGCGTAGGATTTACAAATGCTGTGCAAGAGATATTGGATCGGCTCCTGATTCCTCACCATGAGCTCAACACGCCCGCGCCGCAGGATTACCTGCCATCCTTCTGGATCTGACAAATAGGTAGTAGATTGGTCTGAAAGAATATGAACACTGATTTGGTACATAAGCAAATCCAACTCCAGTCATCTTATAACCTAGGTAAGATTCTATCACCTTTACGACGCTAAATGAAATGGTATGCATGGCGTATCCCTCAATAATTGATCAATGCCGGACGCTCTATCTTCACTAATTTATTTACTTCTTGTGAATATAAATGTACTCCTATTGAACATCCTTGAACATGCTTCAATATTGAATAGTCCTTACAAACGATGCATACTTTCAAAATAAAATCTGAAAGAATGGCTAATTTAACAACAAATCCACCATAGTTTCAGATTTTTGGATGGGATATTTACTGCGTAATGACTGTTGCCACGTATCGTCCTCATGAAGGGGTCTCATGCCAGTTAGATGCGAAGCAAAGTGGAGCGCTCCTAGGTGGCGCATAAAGGAGATTTGTGAACCAAAAGCGACCTTATGCTTCCCTGAGACGCGGATGGATTCAGGGGATAAAAGGGGTTTTTTTTGCTGTACCTATTTCGCACATACCTTCTGTCTCTGCGAGGACGTATTCTTGCATGCGTGCGTGGGTGTGTTCTCATTTATGTGGATTGTATTCCATCGAAAAGCCATGATTAGGACGAGTACGAACAGACTGCTGAAATCTCAGGGCCATCCTCGACTACCTAAATCACAAAGGACTAAAACGATCTCTATCTGCAATGCACGTATACTTGCATCTGAGTCTTCGATAGAAGACTTGATCATGTAGGCAAAAAGTACAAGGTTCGACGTCATCGATCTGGCTGAGACGAGAAGACGCCGTATATGACACCGTAGAAAAACTGTTCCACGGAACATATGGCAGAAGTGGAGATGGTGGCGTCGGCGTTCTCGTCAACACGAGTTTGGCCATGAACATTGATTGGTTCATTTCAACAACTAACAACCCGAATCGGACATTTACACTTGAGATGTGAATCGGTACTTGTTTTGAGAGTCTTCGCCGCCCACGTACCGACAAATGATGACGAAGACGATGTCGAATTGTTGGCTATGAACTTCTTCAAGGTCATTGGAGATTTTAAGGCTAAGACTGAAACCAAAAGAATGTCTGAAGAGTGCCATATTGGGACTCGCGGATTAAAATGGAACGATCAGGGTGAGCGGCTGTCCGAGTTTATCATGAGAACCAAGACCATTCATGACGATAACTCGTCATTCCAGAAGCCCCGCTCTCAAGACTGGACGTGATAGTCTCTCAATGGAGAGTACCGTAACGAAATATACCACATCGTACTAAATCGAAGATTTGGACGGCGTCAGACCATCGACTCCTGCCAGATTTCATTTCGCGTGGAAAAGAGAGAATGTCGCTAAACTCAAGAAACGAAATCGCAATACCACTTGGAATAGGACAAAAAAAATCGATGAGCGGCAATTACACTATCTTAGCTTCGCTGATTATGTCCTTCTTCGAACACCAATAGTAGGCCAGGTGGAACGAATGCTTGACGACTTTGATAAAGCCTGTGGAAAGATTTGTCTTCGACTAAATCTCACAAAAACGATGTTCATGTGGAACATATTGGTTTCGTATGCCCCATTCACAATCACTGGAACGAGTATCTCCGAATGTTCCAGTTACGTTTATCTAGATCGAGAAATGAACACGATGATCGACCTAGCTCTAGAGTTGAGATGGAAAAAGCAAGCGGATTGGGAAGTTTCCAACAGCATGGAGCAGGCAATGAGAAGAGCAAAGTACACACGGCTCCATGCACACCTTTTCGATTTCATGATTCTTCCTGCCTTAGCTTATGCGTCAGGAGCTTTTTCGCTACGTAAGTAGGAGGAAAGATCACTCGACGTTATTGAACGCGCTGTCGAAAGGACGATGCTAGGAGTCTCTCTTATCATGCAACTGAAGAAAAGGATCTGATGCTCCCGTCTACGTTAGCGATCGAAAATCAAAAACCCCATCCTCTACGCCAAACTGCCGAAGACATGATGTGCCAGACCCGTAATGCAAATGAACGACAACCGGTTAACAAGAGGCGTTACCGATAGGTTTCCTAGCGATGTCAAACATAGAGCAGGAAGACTAGGGACCCGATGATCAGAGTTCTTCACGAAATCTTTGGAAGAAAGTTATGGTGCTCGTGGGGTCCCTAGAGCCAGCAGAACCCACTAGGCTTTTCTTCCACGCGACAGGGAGAAATGGGAATTTTACTGCCGCTCGCTCGAGTGACTCAACGATAAACGAGATAACAGGTGATACGTGTGAGTCACAACTGACTTGAAGACTTGCCAGAGATACCTTAACACCCATATTGTTCACGTCCCAGTTTTCCAGCGTATATTTGTTTCCGCATTATATCTATCCCCTCGATAACCTATAGCTTCCTCAATAATCTGGTAACTGGAGTTGATATCAGTGGAGTGTGCATTCATGAGTTTACACGTTAGAATTAAGCAATTGGATCTTCTTGCTCAAGAGATACAAAGGTCTTTGTAATTTTGATACAAAGTTTTTTTTTGGCTATTTCGAGCCATCATTTAGCCATAAATAGTTGCTTGGAATCTTCTGTGATATGAATCTGATTTATTCTCATTTATTATTCCCGATGGAAATGTCGGCCAATCACAATGGTGCAATAAACTATTACGATGATAACTGTTTAAATAACTCAAAAAACCGACTCTGTAAACGTCGGCATAATTAGTCGGTATATATATATATATATATACATATATATATACATATATATAATTATATCCATACAATTATATATATGTACATATATATTCTTGCGAACTGATGAGCTTTCTAAACGTTCAATATGTAAGCAAAACATGGTTTGGTACTCGCTGTCAGACAACGGGTTCCATCCATGTGTTAGTAGCTTTTCAGTACCGTGGAGAAATCATCTATGAAGGATGGAACACTGGTTAATACATCACGTGACTCAAGAAAATCATTGGAAACTCGAGCAAAAAAGCCAGTTTGGTTTATCTTTTAATCATTAGTGTGTAGTATAGAACGGAGGAGGTACGTGACCAAAACGAAGAAATCACTGGAGACTTGTAGAGATGTCGATGGTACACAGTTCGCTTGGCCTGAGGATGAAACTTATACTTTTTTAAGTTACGAAAATTTTACAGTCAATTAAATCTTATCTTCATAGTTGATTTTTTGCTTTCTATTATAGATTGCTTACTTTGTATAATGCAGTTGGATTAATTTGATCAATGGGTTTTAGGATCTGCAGCGTTGGCTCGTCTTGGATGGGAAAGTAATCGTTATTGTGATATTGGCAATAAGCAAAAGAGGGAAGATGGTAGACTCAGGTTTCAAACACACTGTTCCCATCCTTCTCAGGTTAACCATATTGGCATACGGTGTCGTGTTTAAAAGGTTGCCTTTTTTCTGTTATATTTTAGGTTATTGTACCGAAAGGTTCCTCCGACGAAAATGACACTTTTTTCGTTTCCCATGGGCGTAATCGATCGATGAGCATGACAGCAATTGCATTAACGAGTCTTCCGCTTCGTCCCAGCATACCGTTGCGGCGAACGAAAAGTGCATCTGCCGTTTATATAAGTAAAGATCCTAAGAAAATCCTACCAGCTGACATGTATGTTTTTCTGAACGCATGTCTTTTTTCCTCCGCACTGTCAACACTACGGATTTCTTTATAGTGATGGTGTACTTCTACGTCACGAACGAGATGTTGCCTGGGATTCTATACTCACAAAAGGTTTCGGTTCTCCAAGTGAAGAAAGTAGTGAAGGTATGTAATATTCCCGATAAACGCTTTTTCGAATGGATTCGATTAACAATATAAACTTCAGCTGGTAGACGTGTAACGATGACGGTGGACTCGATGGTAAGCGAATGGGAGTCGCGCTCAAGAACCTCTACCATTGTGTATTGCCTTAATCAGGGATTCGTAGTCAACCGCAAACACCTCATCATACAAGGAACGGTAGAGTTTAATAAGCTGTTGGATAAAAGGTATTTTTAAATCCTGGCAAGTACACAACTAACATATAAATTTGGAATCTTATTCCATAACTACAATGATACTGGGATATTTGCAAAACTCCGCACCGCAGGTGTCTACTGCAGGGATCAAACCTCGTTATTACCCTTTTTCGGGGGCTAAAGTGTTCACCACCACACTACCACACCATGCGTGTCCTTCGTTTCGTCTTTCTTTCAGCTGTGTTTTATAGGTGCTACCAGCAATCACCCTTCAACGGTATTGATCTGGCGAGCACAAATCGGTATTGAGCCCACTTAGGCTGAAGCTATAGCTATAAATCATAATGTAATCATTTTTTATTTACTGCCTCTTCTTTTTTATGGTAGAGTATGATGTGAACACATTCATGGAAAAAAAAGTTAAAAAATGAAATTAAAAAAGAATAGACAGTAAATAAAAAGTGATTATATTCTTATCCCATAAATTTTACTCCATCAGACTGGGTGCTACTAGGCAAGGATTTCTTAGCCATGACGCCCCATTTTTCAAACAGGACTCCACTGTAAAAAAAAAAAGTAGGCTGCCGGAAAAAGTAGTCAAGTCAGTAAATGGCATTGCTAAGTGAACACAAAGAACTAACAAACTAAAGATTCTTCCGGAGATACATTAAGTCGTTGAGTGCGTACAAGTTACACATAACTTAATTAAACTCGGGCAACATATTGCCCAAAAAACTGTGTTCCACTTGTAGTAGATCTTACATTAATACAAAGCCGAGACCAAATTCATAGCTAACACGCAGCTCCCAACATTTATTAGGTACAACGTATTTGATGCAAAAATGTACGCCGCTATCAAATTTAAGCCTACATCCCTCAGCTCGTACATTGTACTTTATTGCTTGGAATGAAAACCACTAAAATCTGCAGATTTTTTGCATCCGTGACACATATCTTCTTATTTTACCCAAGTTAAGTGCTTACTTTATGAAACCCATGAAACATTTTTTAAAAATTTTTTTCGCGCCAAGACTCTTATTTCAAATGGCTGCCCTTATTTGTTTTGAAGGCTTCAAGGAATAAAATTTTCTTTCTGTTTTTTTGAAATTGAAAGGATATTGCATATAGGATCAATGCAGTAGACCAAAGGGTTGTCTATATATATTTACCAAATTATCGTCTCCTCAAATAATCTAGTCATTAAGATATTATCATCCGCTTCCGAAAACCTTCCGACGCTAAATATTTAACTGAATTCGCGCAACCTATGAAGTTGGTCCATTTTTAGCCAATATTACTGCAAAAGTAGTGCGGTCACATTTCATTTGGTAGTGCAAGTTGAATGAATTTAAAATTCCTTCTGTACTGACATATTTGCAAACCAATCAATGGTGAATTCCGCTGAGAGCCTAAAACATGTGGAATGAACAATCCCTAGAAAGTTTTTTGGATATCTAGCAGGGCAAAAAATTCTGGTTGGAAGTCTGGTTGAAACTCTGGCAACAAAAGCCTACTTTTAGCACTGAGTTATCCGCTTGTTGTATCGCTTAATCGTTTATATCAAAAATTTCCAAGCTTTGAATATGTTACATTCCCCATTCCTGTATTAAAGGAATCAAGAAACTAGTGCAAATTCTATCCCAAGATGGTGGTCGGTTCAAGTATGATTTTATGCGATTTCTTCCATTACCACTTCAGATCCCATGGATCTCATTCCTTGGTTGACAGTGGTTAAAGGCGTCATTTAGTAGTTCACAAGCTGTTACTGGTGTGAAAGCGGTTAACTGATGTAACCCCGCGGCGGGCCAACGATGTCCATCATCACTCCGAGATTAGCAAATCGATACCATATTTGTCTGGATCAAGGGCCCTCTCCGATCCATAAACGTTGGCCATTGTCTGATTCGGAGAAATGGCAACTTAGCATAGGTATCTATGCAAAGTCCAGCAGTTGCAGCCGAAGCCACTGAAATCTGAACTCGTTCGCTGATATGATGGTGGATCTCCTGATATGATGATACTTGTAAGAAAGCGAGTTAAGTGAAAGAAGTGTGTGGATGTGCATAATACGTGATGTGGTTTCCTGTAAATGTAAAAATTTAACTATCTTTACTAAAAATTCATGAGCACTAGCATCTTAGTCGCCCACTGAAGACCTGGTATTGCAGGCTAAGAGAAGTGCGGCATCGAGACCAGAACTTGTCAATATGACTTTCGCCGTCAACATCGATTTAGTTAAACTAATAATGACCCAAATAGAATGCTTACAGTTGAAATTGACCTTTGAACCAATGCAGGCTTGTCAGTCTTCGTTCTCAACACACCCACGTCAAACTATGACAATGTATGGAAGCGTTCTAAATCAACTTCTACAATGATAGTCATGCCATATTTGAGGTTATCACTGGTGATTTCGTGTTTGCTCACTTGGCTATGTTGTGTGAATCCTGCTGAGGATGACTCGAGTGAAGTTTATAAACAGCAGATAACAGGCAGATTGAGCGGTAGTTTCCGATATCGTGGAGCTCTTTTGTGAAACAACACACTCTTGCTGGTCTTCTATTGAATATCTTTCATTCTGACAAGTAACATGTGAAAAGACGAGCTAGTGTATTGGTGACGACTACTACCACGTCCTTCAGATGTCCGGGTAAAGTCCAGTACGGACAAGGTGTTGCTCAATTCTTCACCCACGAGAAAGCATCTCTGATGGAGAACTGATGAAAAATTGAAGTTCCCTCTTTATTCATGTCTTCCTCAAGAGGATTTGCAGCAATCTGGGTAATGTACGACCACGTGAGAAAGCAAGGTTTTGAAATTTCAGTACGGTAGACAACATCCGAGCGATAAGAGACTGATTAAACTATCGTGACGCCTACCAAGGACCACAGCATTTCATTACTATCGGAAGAAGCGGCCGTGAAAGCTCTGAATAATCAAAGAGCCTTCCTCAGAAAAGTTAAGAAATCACCTTACTTAACCATGGCAGTATGTAAAGATCCTTGATGAGTTATATAATAGTTTTACAACCACCGCGACCACGACACTATAACGAAATTAGCACTAGCTACACCAATATGAAGATAGGGATTCGACAGTCACTCATAGTCACCCTCGAGAACGGTATGGATATTCTGGCACGTGATAACAAAGGAGTGGGGATTGCTGATGAGTAACTATGCCACCTTCGATATCATCCTTGTAATGCCGAGCGTTAGCCAGGCAGAAGGAATACTAGCCGACTTTGACAACGTTTGTGGGAAAACTCAATGTAATGGTTATCACCGACTGTTCCACCTCCGTCTATATAGGAATTTTTATGGTTCGGGAAGTGAATACGATGAACGATTAATTTGCAGAGGTGTGCAGGAGAAATAAGTGACTGGGAAAGCTTTAATGAACGTCGAGAATGTACTGAAAGGAACTAAGAAGATCGATGAAGGTTTCTTCAACTCTACGATTCCTCCAGCCCTATGCGTCAGGATCCTGGCCGCTACGTAAACAAGTTGGAAGACCATTCAGCATTATCGAATGTGCAATCGAGAGGGCGATGCTGATAGGTGTGTCCTGTATCGTGCAAGTGAGAGGATCCGAAATTCCGAACTGAAATAAGCGGTATCGCTCTTCGGTGCAAACTGGTATAATTATATAGAGGTGACACATGAAACACTGTTCACTGTGCGAAATACAACCACAACGTTGCTGAGAAAAGGCAGAAAACAATACGTTAAACACTGTTCACTGTATTCATTGTATTATCAAGCTTTCATGAGGTTGGTGTCCACATTTCTACTGTGGTAAACGTTTCGGTGGGTAAACGTGGCGCATTGTTTAGTGATGCAGTCCATCAGGAACCAAGGTGCTAGTTCCACCCCATCACCAACGGTCCCCTTCATCCATTTGGGAACGATTAGCTCGGCTGTCTCCAGTAGATGAAACAATGTGCGAGATTTTCGAGGACCTTTCTGGGCGATGACTGCGAACAAAACGAATCGAATGCAAGAAATGCTGGTATCCGCACACTAGATGTGAAGTTCACGTAATAAATAATCACAGAAATATGGGAACAGTGGATGGCTTAGTGAGTATCATAGTATATGTGGTAAGAGAACTGTTATCAGAATTCGTGAGCACAAACTTCATAAAGGAGAAAACGAGACACGCACCTGCTCAATGTGCATCGTTCCGTGCGTTATTAGTTGGACCATTCCTGTTATTTCCCCGGTTTAGACCAACTTGACTTCTAGTTTCTTTACGACGGAGTACCAGATTTACTTTAACTGCTTTGTAAATGGAACGCGAACACACTTTTCAGTGAGATCAATCGGTGACGTGAACTTTATCACTGTTCTTTAACTCAAAACGAGCTAGTTACAGAGAAACCATTTCACAGATAGCCGACTTGGTTCGTGATCCTCACTTCGCCAATGCTATTAGGGACAAGTGGAAATTAGCTCAAATAAAAACGAAACGATATGTGGAAGTGAATCAAAGCGTTGGAGACCGCGCTAGATATGTATACATGACAAAAGATGAGGTAGCGTTCACCTTCTATTTTATCATTTTTTGAAAGCATAACGTTGATATAGTGCTCTTTTTTTCATTTTTTCAATAAGTTTCTACTAACGTTTGCATAACCGTTGAGTAACACTAGTGAATTTGTGAATACATACGGTTGAGGTCAAAGCTCACCTTGTCGTATATGTCGTCATGTAATCATGTAATCCTCTATCTATCAGGAGTTGTCGTTGTCACGGTTTCGCCGTGAGATGCTAGCAGATCCTTGGCTTTTTGATGAGCTATGTCGATTCAATCCAGACTCGACTTGTGTTACGCAGAGAAGCCACCCTCGTCATGTCACTGCTCTACCTTCTGATATTGATGTCATGTGTTCGGTATGCTATGATTAAGATGGAAATTTTTATGGATGCATAGTCACTAAATTTCTGCACATGATTTGCGCTTCATGTGCTGCATGTATAGCTAGAATGAGGGTTCAATAAAAACGTTTTACTAAACCAAAGCCTCGGGTTCGAAAAGTAACAAAACAAGTAGGCATTTATCTTTTCTGATGCCTCAGCAGTTAACTTATGTGATCCACGTAAAATTTGACTTTTCCTTCAATATCTCGACTGAAAGCAAATCCATCGAGAAATCTATCTTGAACTTTCTATCCATGGTTTAACTTTCCATCATAACTTTCAACTTTCCATACTAAAGATTAATTGTAAACCGACTTTCATTTAACCTCGGTATAAACGATCAATGCACCTTGTTTCATTGATAAGCTAACACGAGGTCGTTACCAATATTTATTCGGCTAACGTTTCGACGTCTTCATCTTCCTCAGTGCCGATGGTCCGAGTTGATGGTCAACAGTTGTTCGTCCTCTCGACGTGGTGTCTTCGTCGCTCATTGAGCCCCATCTTCTTCGCGGGAAGATCTCTCGAATGAGACATGCTCAGCTGGAGATACCTTGTATACAGGATTCTTCTTACTGATAGTCGTGATTTTCTGGTACGCTACGAAGATAGCACATCGAGAAGACAAACGAATGTGGTCATCGATTCGGATCATCGGCTCTGAGGAAGACGAAGACGTCGGAATATTAGCCATAGAAATATTGGTAACAGTCTCGTATTAGCTTAGCAATGAAACAAGGTGCTACAGATTATTGTGCTACACTTTGTCAACATTTTAAAGGTGCTATTTTAGAAACGTTTTTTAGCTCATATCATAGTAATTTGGAGTTTTATCGTGTTCTCCCATATTTATTTAAAAAGCTACGTTGTGAACCACATTTGTTAGAGAATGAGAAAAATTTTGACTAAGAAAATACTTTTCGAAAACTGTCTTAAAGGTTTCCGTCCAAATTGGTTATTATCGCTTATCGATTGCTTCTGGACGTTACTAGGAAAAGTATGACCTGAGTAGAGAGTATTACCTACAATGTGGTTTTTAGAATATATTTCGATCGAGGACAGAACCGCTTCTTACCTCGCAGTCATTCGAGGTAGTTAATGAGGTACAATACAGATATTTGTAAATTTTTGATTTTGCAAACTCGTTCTAAAAATTACTCTTCAGCTCGAGGATCGTGGTGCTCGAAGTGGTCACGGGCGTAGCCAGAGAAGCAATGCACGGATCAAACATTCCGCTTACCGCTGCTTCTATTGTAGTTCTGCTGATAAAGGTTTGATCGTTTATACATCGGGCGATCCCGCAATGAACTATTTCGTTTTGAGCATTTCTGCTGACTACTATTGTAGTTCAAGGTGATTTCGTTCTTCCGTCACACGAGGATGTTTCACATTTACGGCGAGAAGTTCTGAACCAAGTGGACATGTTGGAAATTCAGCAGTCAACACCAGAGAAAAAACTTCTCATGTCAGTTTATAGTAAACGATAATCCATCACCGTTCTACCTCCAGTTTAGCTGTACAGCTACTTTAAGGCTTCGGAAATCCTTCCCGTGGTTATTCGAGTGGCCATGCCTTTATGCTGATGTGCTTGAGCTTCTCGACGAGTACCGCTTCAAATCCAAATCACGTGCATTCCTTCAGGAAATTTTCTATGATGCTTTAAGAATATGAGTAGTTTGGATGAATAGTTGTTCGTAATACCAGTTTACCATAGTTTAAATGTACAAATAATAAACAATAACGATGTTCAGCTTCATGTACTCTTTCCATATTTATTGTTTGTTTTCTTATGACATATAGGTTCTCGTGTTTGGTCTAAAATTCGAATAGAAATGGACATGTACATGCATCACATTCCTCTAACGTTACGCCCTTTATACGGGCATGTGGAATGACTGCGCAATTTTTTCTTTTTTCCATTCGCGAGCTCATGCAACATGAGGGAGCAACAAACGTGTATGACCTAAAAATTCAGCACTTGATGGCCCTCTTAAAAGAGCGTCCACTGTTCAATCTCCAGATGATCCGCGAAGTATTTCTCAAGGATGACAGGGTTGACGATTGACACCAAACCTTTCTTCCATTGCATTTATGTTTAAAGCTGAATCCCTCGTACTCGATCTCCGGCAAAAAATCTACTGTTGACCGACGACTGTTTTCTCATCTGCTTACCTGAAGAGGTGGACAAATGTTTTGAATTATTAAACCACTGTTCTTGAACTTTCAAATCAACCTGTTCCAAAACGGCTGCAATATCATAAAATTGCGCCGGAGGCCAGCAACATGTGGGACGAATACATTGACGAAACGGATGGAGCACTGTTATTCCGCATGAAGGAGTGCCTAGATAGGGAACAGAACTCATCCTGCACAAAGACGTAGCGGAAAAGACATCAAAGTAAAATTCACCATCCTCGCACAGAAATCCAAAACATCTGCACGTTAAACCTTGCACCACTTTGGATTAATTCCAAAAGCAAAAAATGAACCGTGAGGAGTGCGTCATGATCATGCGTGACCCGCTGAATACAGGTCGATTTTTCGGCCTGGTAACCATGCACATTCCTCACACATGGATAAATTTTAAGAATGTGATCTACATATTGCAACATGCATTTAGACATTGAGGAATATCATGCTGATTTAAAGAGACGCTAAAGCTCAAAGAAAAAGCGACGAAAAGATTGTAGATGTCAAGTAACGTTTTTTCTAAAAGTGAGGACCAAAAGTCATTCAATACCACTAATCGGTGAATGCGAGAATGGCACAAGAGAAAAGCGTTGATTTGTCCGAATGTTTTAACAAGGAAAAGCAATACTGCTCGACAAAAAAGAAAAAAAGCATGAAAAAAAATAAGCCAGAATTTGGACTATGATAGGGCGTCTGATAGTAGAAGAATTTAAACGGCAGCTATCGATATTAATAGATATCTATAGTGACCGGCCGCAGTAAAATTTCTATTTGACTCCTAATTTTACGTTACGATAACATAAACTTTCGCTTGAGTTATGAGCAACCATGCTAGCTTTCGCTAATTACTACGGGAAGTCGCTGAACTTTGGGCATCGAAGAGAGATTAGCCACCTTAAAACTGAGTTCTAACCAAAGTGGCAGCGATTTTTGGCACATGGCTACTCTTATTTGAACTTCTCGGTAGAGGTGCCGAACTCATCCTAAGGAGTTCGGAAAATTCTATTGGTAATGATCAGCCGCTGTATATCCTAACTAGGAACTCAGAAGCAAACTCCCACCACCACGAGGCTATCAGTCCTAGGGTGGGATCAGCATTCAGAGTGGGTTAATGGTGACCGCGTAAATCAGCAGTTTAAAAAAAGAAAGGCGACTTGCCCCAATGGGACAAATACTTATGTCGCGGAACTATATATTTGCATCAGTTTTCTACATCAGTAGAGATCTACTGTGGAAGCGCACAAAATAACAGGTTAAGGACCTGAAACCGGAAACAAAACAAAGTATTTGGAAATGAACATTTTTTTAAGGGAAAAAGAGGGAAATTCAGTATGGACTAGGCAGCACACCTGTGTATTTTAATAGTAGCAGTTTTTGGGCTTAAGTAGTTGCTTTTTTTTGCATTCAAAAGATTCCTACCTCGTCAAGCGTCGCATTCATAAGCATGTCTTGCTTCATCGTCATCGCCTTCTTCGTAGAATGATGCTGTGACGGTACTACATGAACGCGGGTACATACGCTTTCCGACGGATTTTCTGCCATAATGGTCAAAGTTTTTGGCATTTTGATCCAGGAACTTCCACAACATATTATTTTTTTCCCACACGATATGCCACTTTTTCAACACAATCAACTTTAGGCGTACAAATCGCAGTGGTTGAAAACGCGGTGCAACAGAGGCATGGTCGCTTTACCGATCCAAAACCGAACAAACAATTTGTAGGACTCTCTAATATGGCAGTGTTGTGATTCTAGAGAGAATCACCCAGCACTTAACCACATCCATGAAGGAGACAAAGTGCTTATCCAGTTAGTCAAACCCTCATGCACAGCATCGTACCGAGTGAAAGTGCAAGACAACGAATTGTACAAGAAAAGTACTAAGATCAGCACACACAAAATAGGGTTATATAAATAAAAATGAAGTATGCATTCTTTCTTTAATAAGCTTAGACGAAGTTGATAAACAATTTTTATTCGGCTAACGTTTCGACGTCTGCGCCTTCATCAGAGCCGACAGTAAGGCGATAGTCCACGGTTCTTCTTCGTCTCGATGTGCGTTATCGCCTTCGTATCGAGTTGTGTCCTTCTCAGCGGACCATCTGTCGTAATAGGAAAAGTAAAATATTTCATCCCACTGACCACTCTATTTTGAGGGATCTCTTGCCGGACACTGCTAAAAGCGGGTTTAAACGTATGAATTTCAAAACCAGAATTAGCGCTTATTTAATAAATTATTCCCAAGAATTATGATAATTAACTACTTTCTTAGTACATGGAATTTTCAATATGAAGCGACTATCGATGATTCAGTTCGTGGTTTTAGCCATTTGCATGGCTTTTCCATGAGTACTTCAAAATCGTACAAGCAGGTAAGTACAATATATTTTCCACTAATTATCTCAGTATAACAAATACTGAGCTGACCAAGTGAGCTCGTCGAATAATCGGTAACTGATTGAGGAAGCGTTATGTCCAGATCAAATACGATATTTTTACATATGAATTTGCATGTAAGTGTTGGAAACATTGTGTGGTGGTACGGTAGCGGTTATGCTAATAGGAGTTATGCGAAAACATTTTATTTATGTCATGTGTAGTTCAAAAACCACCTTACACTTTTCTGCACCTTTATGAAATTTCTGTTTTGGTATTCGTATGAAAGCGTAATCATGGTCGAGTGAGAAAACTGGCTTTTCCTGAAAAAGAACTACAGCTTCCAATGGTTTCACCCCAATCGTTTAAACTCAGTAGGAGCAGAGATGTTTCTTTAGTCAACGTTTATCACGGGACAATCATCGTGGTCTCGTAATTGGCGAAGGTTCAGTAGCTAATGCGACTGATTTTCCCAACTATTGCATCTTTCACCATAACTGCTGCATTTCTCTTTAAGATTTTGTTCTACTGGCTTTCTGCATTCTTTTGCAAGTTCCAGCGTCAGTTGGCCATTGGTTGTGGCTCGTGTAATTCAACGACGGCGTATCGGGCCTAGTAATCCTGGAGGCCGACACCCTTGGGTGACTTTCGAACTCTCAGCTTTCATAGTGCTAAGCGTGGAGTAAGGCATCGTATTCGTCGTCGATGTTATCAACAACGACATATTCCCAACAGACGACTAATGATCTGAATGAACCTCAGTTTATGGTAGTGTTGGAACTTCGTTTTTTGAATTTCGTGGCTTTTTCTGCATTCCGCAAGAAACGAAATCTTGCGAGAAGGTGACGATGTTCTGATCCGTTCTAGAATTTTTGGACAGCAGAGAAATCGCTTATGCAACACCGATTTCCTATGAGGTGTTCTATTTCGGTACCGCACCATCCATTCAGAGACTGTCGTGCTCAGCGTCCAGAACATTCTTCATGATAAACTGAGACAGCCGGTCATCCTTTTTGTTTCATTCTAACCCGTGAGTCCCAATGTGACGTTTTTGAGTCGTTTTTCTAAATCCATTCTTAGAGTTAAAATCACCAACGATATAACCTTAAAGAATGTTTAGTCTTCTGCGTAGAAATTCTCCAAGCCCATTTTGAATGCTTTGACTTCGATAGACGTCGAAGATTGTCAAAACCGGTATTGATTAATACCTCTTTGATCACAATATATATTTCTGTTTGCATCATTTTTATACACCGTCTTAAAGCCAGTTTCTTGCCTGAGAACTTGTCCTTATGAACTGGGTCTTCGTAGTATTCATGCGCTATTCGATCTTCTTTCAGGGTTCGTTAAATTCATTTAGCACCGTATCTGCTTCACTTGTGCTCCTCGAAAAGATGAAGATGTCATCAGCGAAACGATGATTTGATGGAAATTTCCTATTAATACGTATGCCGTTCTCTTTTCAACAGAATGATCCTTAGCTGCAATGGGTGAATAAACAGCTTTGGCGATACCGTACCATCTTTTCGAACACCTCTTCTTGTGACTACAGTAAGGAGTCGATAAAGAAGCTCTACATTTGTGCAGTCATTCCGATAAGAGTGTTCATACACAGAACGGCTCCACTCCGTTGTCGAGAGCTATTAGGATTGTTCTCGCCTTGACGCTATCAAACACTTTCTCGTAGTCGATAAAGCCTAGGACGAAAAGCAAATGGTACTTCCAACAGATTTCTACGATGCTTGATACTGTTTAGATGTGGTCTGTGCAACACAATCTCTGTTCAGAGCCTTTCTTGGTGAACAGCTTGTAAAGTATGCTCAATAAGCATTTCGGACGGCAGTTGCAAAGATCCCTTCGGTCATCTTTCTTGGATAGGATGACCGTGTTCTACATCTGCCGGTAGTCCGAGATTTTCTCTTTCTGATAGGAGGACAACATGCGGACTGGCAGAAGTGCGTGTATTTTGTGGTTTCTATCTCTGAGGAATTCTGCGGTGATGTTATCGATTCCTCATACGTTGATATCTTAGTGCTTCCTATCGTAACTCGAAGTTTGAAGGGTAGAGATCAGAAAAGTTGGTTATGGAACGGAAAAGATTGATATAGAACTTTTTGTTGCCAATTCCGCATAGTGGCAAGATGTAGTGAAAGTCCCATCCTCTTTCCTTAGGACGGTTAACGAAACATTATTGGCACAGAAATCCAGCCGGCACATCTTCAGACTAGATCGTTTATGAGCTGCTTCCAATAACTTTTTCCTTTCATACCAATGTGAATTCTCCTGCAAAGATTCTGTACAACTGCTATTTACTATTAGTCGTGTTAGGTGCATCACAATAAGACCAAGCTTCAATGCTTTTTCTTTTCGAGGAACTACTTAGTGGTAATGGAGATAAGGTCTGAACTTCTTGTTTGAGGAATTGGGACGATTTCGGCACAAGATTGAAGTCCTTCAACATGCAGCTTATAGTCTTCAGTCGGTCTTCCTTTACCTACTAGTCATATGAGTAGAGAATTTTATTGAGAATAAACGAACGCACTACACTTGTTTCGTTTTTATTGGACAATGATAGTTCTTCTCTAGCTCAAGGCTGAACCGAATCTTCTCATGGAGAATGCAGTGATCATATCCAGTACAGAATCCAGGCACCATTTAGGTGTCAGAGAGGGTACTATTTTCTGTTCGCGAATATATGGTCGATCTCTACACGAGTTGAGAGTTAGTTCCATGTCCACTGCCGGTTTTCCGTCTTTTCCAAAAATGTATTCATATGGAAGGTACGCATTACGCTTCCATGTGAATTTTGTGCGGTCGGTCTTCACGCGACATACTCAGTGGAAGACTCATAGAAAGCGGCTCTGACGAAGGCGAAATCCGCCGAACCTTCAGCTTGTGCGTAAATAAAGAAATAAAATAGCACCTCGTGTTTGCTGAACGGAGGTAAAAAGATAATAAGGGCTCTGCCACCTAATTGCCGGTATTCCTGTTCCTCGTCTCCTGTAGGATCCGTAGTTTAATGCAACTAGCGACCTCAAAAAAAAAAGCAAAAATCGACGTCTGAAGAGACTGTTCTTCTGTTATATGTGCAGAGCAATAAGTATTCTCCATGGCGTAAGTGTTCTCGTTTCGTCCGTTTCCAATGACGTCTTGCTCAACCCAGGATTTGATCGCCTCTTATCGGTTGTCTCAACGCCCGACTTCGTAGACGTGAATACCCAGATTGCGGTCTACTGAGGCTGGTGTCTTGCTAGCTGGAAAATTGTGGTCCCCTAGAGTCTCGAGGTCAGTCTAGCCAAAACCTTTTTCAGGTCGCCACCACCCCAGGAAGTCGCTGCCGCTGCGAATCAACAGGAAATTTGCCATCATGCCACTACTTTGACACCAGTACGGTGATAGCTCTTGGTGTTTGTTTACTCTTACCTAGGTTTCCTGATGTTCGCAGCTTGCGAGACGCTATTACGAACCACCTGCTATACATCGCAATTCGACACCCAGCAACACCTCCCAGCCACGATGAGGCCGTAAACTTTTGGGTGATCGTCTTGGCTCAATAGTTCAACCTTGGAAGCAGCTCGAAATGTCACGCAAGCATAGGGTTAGGCCACGATTCCTAAGATCCGTACTCAACTGGCTTGAAAAGTTCCGTACCAAGGACACGAGACTCGATAGCGATGAATGCCGTGTACGTCCATAAGCAGTTGACCATGATCATCTAAAGACGATAATCGAAGTTAACCCTTTGAAAATCATTCTCGAGAGGTTTCGAAGTAATTCAATGTTGTCATTCCACGTCGTGTTCGTCATTTGGAATACGCTAGCAGATTTGTTTTCAAAACGTTTGCTTCGAATAGGCTTAGACGAGTTCTGACTACTTCATTGAACAGCTATTGAAACGGCTAGTTTAACAAGGTGCCACAAATAGTTAGAAGTACCGTCGTGACTATTTACAACCATCTCACTTGTAGTAGTAGGTGAGGAGGATTTTTTTAAATAATTAGGAGATAGCGTAGTACTAGAGAACTGTACGAGATTTTCGCCATGAGTATGTTGAAAGTAAAGCATTCACTTCCTCAATAAACGAGAAATACAAGGATCCACTATGCAAAGGTTGATCAGAGGAGTTACGACAGAATATACACGTGGAAATATGACAATGTGTGTGTAAAAAAGCTACGTATTAACAGGAAAAGTGAACAATTGAGACCTGACAATGGATGTATAAGATGCTAAAGTGAATAAAGAGTGATCATCTCGTTAGTATAGTTTCCTGCGGGAGTTTCCAGAATCAGTGGCATGCCATCAAGTCGTTCGTCGTTCATAATGTGCTTGAATCCGCTTAATCCAATCTTACCCCTACCAATATTCTCGTGACGGTCCGCACGGCAACCAACGCTGCCTGCAACAAGCCACAAATAGCTGATTTCCACGAAAATTTTGGATCACTGAGCCATCAAAATTGTTTAAAATCAACGTTCTCAACAAACATGTCATCTATCTTCTAAAAGGAAACTATGATTGAACTGAAAGTCAAGTCAACAGGAACCATTACAAATAACAAATCCACAGAGACGAATCCACAGAAATCCGTATAGATAGATGACACTATTGTCCGAAACGAATGAAGTTCAGCCAATTCCAACACTAGCTTTCTTTCGAAAATCAAAAACGCAAGCCGCTGTGTAGAATTCTTAGGAACAACAATTTTCTGCTCTACGTATGCATAATTTCTTACTTTCCTAATTTCACTTCTCCACGCCTGTGTTAAAGAGGTGAAATTATGCAATTTTCACTAAACGAATCTGAGCTGAAGATACCACCCACGAGGGTTAAAATACGAACCCTTGGAGTCGTTAAGATGTATCGCCTTGAGGTATTGCAGTCCAACAACGTCATTAAATCTTTTCATCGTCTCTTCGTAGCCATTTTTTGAACGAATGTCATATCCTAAATGAAAATAATCTCTACATTATTATTCTAAATAACAGATGAAAACCAGTCACAAAGTTAAGGCTACCGTCGTGTGGTTACTGTTACATTTCAAAAATCCCTGCATGACTCCCTTCGCTAGACAGAAGAAACTGTGTTTCTACAGTAACCAAGATGCACAAGAAGGCGACCCGAACTGTGCCACCGATTCTCCTTCTATACCTTTATAAAAAAAGGTCAAACCTGCAGCAAATATATGGCAAGTATCAATACAAACACCTACACGCTCTTTCTTTTTCACCTGGAAAAACGAGAATAAGTAAAAACAAGAATTCTCCGAGCAATTCCGCTAATTTAGGCATGTTTCCTCGGCTTACCATGGATATTATGTCACGAATTTCTTCAAAAGTAGACCCAACAGTATTGCCTTGACCGGCCATGGTCTCAATCACTATAAGTGCAAATAATATTCAGAAGTATGGTGAGTTCTAATCTAAGTCCCAAAAGTAAGTGCGAAGAGATGTGCCAGCACCCAGAAATAAACAAAAGAGGATTATTGAAAAATGAAAAAAAATTAATAGAACATTACATACCCATTATAATGAAGTCAGTATTGTCAATAATGTAATCAATAGTGGTAGCCACTGTTTTAAGACATTCCGCTACAGTACACGAGGCGGTGGTTGAACCTCAAACAGAACAATGGCTAATTGGGGACTACCTTCCAAGTCGACTACGAATTATACACATGCAATGAAGAAGCCGTTTTTTTTCGTCAGCAAAAAAGAGAATCTCTTAGATGAAGCTCAGATTAGGAAACACTTTTTCCGACGTAGAAACCACTTTTAGAAGAATATATGTACTGATAACAAACAGTGTTTCATTGAGCAGATCAATAGCTGTACTGTTCTATGGGGGTTAAAGCATCCGCGACAATAAGCATTGAGTTCAATACATAATTTCTTAACAGTAACTTCACATTTGAATTCTGAAGAAGCATATCAGCCCATAGAGAACTGTATTCGTTGAAATAGAAGCTAATTGAAACAACAAAATTATCGGAATAACCTGTTATTGTTCGCAGTTGCCGCACATTACCCATCATTTTTTTAAAAATTTCCTTTCTCCACTTCTTGAAGAACTGAACTCGAAGAAAATTAAGAATGAAAACAATATAACAGAAAGACTAGATAAATCTTCAGAGCAAAAGGAAAGTCATTTGTAGGCAAGTACCAAGTTCTCAACATCTTGATCGCTGATCGCACGACTTATTCGACAGCTGACGGATAACTTCCCGATTAGTGGAGTCGTTCAGGAATGTAACAATGAGTACTTGGACTCATAAATGGGTAGTGTAAGAATCTGTACATCTTTCAAACGCTTATTTACAACACCACTATCGTACATATAGTTGTTTGCTTCCAGTAATAGATACTATTTACTTTAAAACACGAAGGATGCTCGCTTCCTTTGAACTTTTTTCTATTCTGCAAAAATAAAATCTGCATTTATATGAACACAACCACACTTGTATGCATGAGGATTTCTGCCCCACTATCCGCCATCTGTATACGAGCCAAGTAGCCTCGCTACTAAAGAGCTTAGGGTTACTCTCAGTGAGGAAGACTGTGAGGTCAGTGAATGGCAATTGATAATGATGATAATAGTTCCCAAGATCGACTTTCTCTTAACCTCGGCATTGGAATATGAATGTGTCGTTTTCTTGCTCAGCAATCGCGAGGTTTTTAAACAGCATACATTTACTTCCATAAAGAAAACACAATACAATACAACGCTAGCTGACGTTTCGGCAGTATCGCCTTCTTCAGAGCCGCTTTTTCGTGACTTCCAATGAGGAAGTTTAGAACAGCTGATTATAGTCGCATGTGGTTATGTCGCAGTCGCAATGATGATAATATTTTTACCACTCACGGCTTCAAAATGGAGAACGGCCGAACTATGTGAAAGACCCTTATATGAAGCAACTAGATAAATAACAGAAGAAGTGGATGAAATGCATACTCCAAAAATTTCATGGCACGTTATTTACTCCATAAATGGCCCTGTCATTTATTCGAACGACGTTACCCTTACTGTTCTTCTCTACTATACGGTGATCACCTATATTTTTACGAGGCGCGCGACTTCAAATAGAGCGTCAAGATCGGTGTCTATGAATGCGATTCTATCATTGCAGGCGAAAAGCAACTCTATGAGGAATGTTGTGGGTGTGTTCGCTCGGCTCGATCCGGTTTCAATAACATTTTCCGCAATGAACCGGGTATCTCACCGCCTGACGTAGTAGACACAAGTGTTCAGTGTGCCATGCTCTGAGGCTGTATTGCTAGCTGCGTAATTCCTTTCCACTCAAGTCTCGATACTGTATGCGCGTTTGTAGACCTTCACCACGAGCAACCGATTTCACTTCGAGGAGAAACCTTTTGCAGCGATTATTTTGGTCGTTCTGCCAATTGATTCGAATACTATTTTGTGTCGAATATAAATATGAATATAGAGATAAAAGCCGAATGACATTATAGCAAGTCAGATCTCGAGTTTTAGTTTCAAGAAGCTTATAGAATCGACTGTGGTCTATCGCTTCATAAGTGGTGTTTACAAAACATCCTTTCGATTTCTAATCTGCCAATATTCAAAATCTCCAAAAAAACCAAAAATGAAATTTTAATTTCTAATATCTCTGACGTTACCACAGCAGCCCTAAACACCAGTTATACATTAGCCTATGCACCACGTCCTAGACTTCAGAAGATCAAAATTTCATCCTTTTAAAATAGGTGAATTCATTTCATAAAGGCAAAAATCTGGAAATTCTTGCGGTTTTCATTCCAACTAATAAAGTTTAGGATGTGAGAGATGTTGTTGAGAGAGAGAGAAGAATAACTAAATCGTTAGCGAATTGGTCCAGCAAACCATCGTATGGAAAAACCCACTAGTACTGACCCCGAATGAGGGAGTATGGAATTTCATAGCTCCATGAGATTGATCAGCATCGCCAACTTGCCCTCTTTTTTTCTCACCTGGGTGGAAATTGTAGTAGAGAATTCCTAGACGTTCACAACGCTTGCATTCATCAAGCATAGCTTCCCTACTCTTTCGCAATTTTTCTGCATCAGATGAACCTGGATTCATCAGATATGAACCATGCGGCAAAACTTGAGAAATTGGGAATCCAGTTTCCTAAAAACAAGTCTTTTAGTAGTACTCCTCTATATTTGAACGTTAGAAGAATGAAATTTGAACGGTAACCGATTTATAAGCTATGATTCTATTGGAGTGCGCAATAGTTTTGAACTAAAATATCGAACACATGACACAGACATAAAGAAATGTACAGGGTTGTTCAGAAATACATGAGCGTTTTTAAATATACTGTTTAAAATATTAACCAAAATAAAAACCATCTAAACCTACACATTTTTTCCAACAAGAAACAAGTTTGTTTTTAGATGTATAAAATCCTGCAGTTCTAGAAGCGACGAATTCGTTTAAGGCATTTTTTGCGTCATTGTGGTTGGTGAAGCACCTCTCACGCAGAAAGTTGTCAAGGCGCTTGAAGAAGTGAGAGTCGAGGTCTGATAAATTTGCGGATGAAACAAAGTTTCGCAGCCCAACTCGTTCAACTACTGCAACGCTGGTTCTGCAAATCCGCAAAGTGAAGCTGGGCACTGTCGTGGAGAAGTATTGGTCCTTTTCTGTTGACTAGTGCCGGTCGTTGTTATTGGAGTTTACGGTTGTTGGCAATAGTTCTCTGAGGTAGTCGTTTCGCCCTAATTCAAAAAGCTGTGATGAATCAGCCCGGCTACAGAGCACCAAACTCTCACGATAACTTTTTTGGTACAACTTCGGCTTTGGGAAGTTCTGCGGAGCATGATCGCAATCAAACCATTGAGTTGAGCGTCGTCGGTTGCCGTAGAGAATCCACTTTTCGTCGCACGTCGCAATTCGATCAAAAAGGGTCGTTTTGTTCCGCGGAATAGGAGCAAAAGACACTTCAAAATGGCGATTTTTTTTATTGTTTAATTCGTGAGGCACCCAATCGTCGAGTTATTTGCCTTTCCTACGCGATTCAAGTGAGTGGTTCCTGTGTTTAAGCCAAGCTGTTCTTCAAGCTCTCGAACAGCTGTTCGCGTGTTTGCTTACACTAGTGCCTTCCTTTCGTCGTCGTCAAGTTCATTGAGACGTCCGCGGCCATCCTTATCTTCGAGGTCGAAATCACCAGATCGGAATTTCCCGAACCATGCTCGTACTACTGACTCACTAACACTACCTTAACCCTTCGTTAATGTTGCGAACCGTCTCTGATGCAGCACGACCGAGTTTGTACACATAAAAGAAAATTTGACGAAAATTCGTTCTTGACATCTAAAATTACAAAGCTTAAAATCAGTAAAAAAAATTGAAGTTTTGAAAAAATGTAAAAACGTGTTAAAAAGAGCATAAAACCAGCTTCCTAATGATATATGACAACGCAAGGTACAAAGAATATTTTCCCAAGACCGACTTTCTGTTAACCTCGGCATTAATTGATTATTCAATGTTTTTTATCAATAAGCAGACACGAGGTTGTTAATATAGAATTTATTAGAACACAATTGCTGACGTTTCGGCG